GGGTCCGTTTCCACCCCCCCCACTCCAGGACCGGAGACCGGAGGCAGAAGCCTCCGGTCGCCCGCTCCCTTCCCCTCCCCCACCACCCACTCCCAACAGGCACTGAGGGGAATGTAGGGTTGCCAGCTCTAAGGAGGGAAATACCTGGAGGTTTGGGGGGTGGATTCTGTAGAGGGCAGCATTGGGCGGGGGGGGGGCGGAAGGACTCAGCAGGTGTAATGTCATAGGGTCTACCCTCCAAAGCATCCATTTTCTCCCGGGGAACTGATCTCTGTCATCTGGAGATCAATTGTAACAGTGGGAGATCTCCAGGTCCCACCTGGAGATTGGCAACCCTAGGGGAAAGTCAGCTGCACAGCAGGGGGTTGAAGAGAATGTTTTGATGGCTGCTGGGCCAAGATTGGCATCAATAGTTCCCCAGGAGCCCCATCGTAAATTAGCACCAAAGCTTTAAGATCTCTCCAGCTGTCACCTGGAGACTGGCAACAGCTTGTCTGGAGTGTGGGCAGTATGGCATTGTATCTGTCTGAGATCCCCCTCTTCCTCCTCCTCCTCAGACCCCACCCTCAGCAGGCATCATCCCTAAAATATCCTGGAAGTTTCCAACCTGGAGTTGGCAACCCGATGTCCTTTCCTGGCAACCATCAGCCAACCTTTATCTGCCTCTCTGTCTTAAGTTTTACAACCCCCCCCCAACAGCCTCTGCCTAGGGAAAGGGCAGCTGACATCATTCTCCTCTCCCCTATGAGGTATGTTATGCAACTGAAAATCCCAACTGCCTTGGGGGGGGGGAGTTTGAGGTGTGGAATGGAGTGTAGTCCAATCAGCTTCCATATGCAAATAACCTTGGAACGCTGGGCGGGACTGCACAAAGCAGCCAGTCAACCCAGCCAGTGTCTTCTGAGTGGGAGTTTTTCCGGCCTAACACTAAAGGGGCCAAATTTAGAATGTTCATATAGAATGTTCTTACTCAATTATATATAAGGAGAGATGACTGGGGGAGGGGCAGGACAGAGGTTTATAAAATTATGCATGAGGTGGAGAGAGTCAACAGAGACATTTTTCTACCTCTTCCAAAATACTAGAAGTCCAGAGCATCCAAGGAAGCTGATGGGCAGTAGGTTCAGGACGGACAAAAGGAAATACTACTTTACACAGAGTGGGATTAAAATGTGGAATTCGTTGTTAGAGGATGTAATAATGGTGACAGGAAGAAAAAGCTTTAAAAGGGGATTAGATAAGCGAGAAAGAAAGTGGAAGAGGGACCTGAGAAAGTGGAGGAGAATAAAGACGCGGAGGAAGAAGAGGGAGAAGGATGGTAAAGACTCTGATATTAATTTGATCAGTCTGGCAAAACCCTTTGATTTTGAAACAGAACTAGGGGTTGCTACCCCTAAAGCATTTAAAAACTAATTTGGACTTTGACAGGAGGAGAGGAAAAAGCAAAATAGATTGATTTCGATACCCTGATGTTTATTCTTAATGCATAACTCCAAACTAATGATATTTACACTATAGCATTTATTGTCAACTAAGATATACAATTACAGCCAAATAAGTTTGTGATTGTTTGCTTTTAAATTTGATATTTTTACAGTATTATCTCTCATGCTTTACTATTCTGACAAAGA